CAAGCACACAGCAGCACTGGCCCACTCACAGTCAGTTAATACAAACAGCCATATAATTCTGTTTAGAAGTAAGAGAGGATAATTTGGGATAGATTTCTAATCATTTATAGATCAGATAACTGAAATAATTCTTTCCCAATCGCAAACAGCTCCCTTCTCCTCAGTCTCACCTCTGCCAATCACGGGAAAGTGAGTAAAAAGAGAACAATACAAAGGACTTCTCTAGAGAAGGGCTTAACAGTCAAGAGAGACTGCTGAGTAACCACGACACGCACATCAAAAACACCAAACACGAATAAATAAATCTAAAGAAAAAACACAATATTAACACATACTCTTATCATAAATTATTTCTATTAAATTATATTAGTCAAAGTTTACTCTAGTCCATAATTTAACAATGTGAGTTTAACTTAAGAATTTAAGAAAACAGTATGATTTAAATTCACAATTATTTCAATATGGCTCTTATACTAAGCATACTTTTTTGTGACAGGGTCTCACCATAAAACTCTGGCTGACTAAAAGTGACTATATAGACCAGGCTGGCCTCAAACTCCTAAACTCACAGAGATGTGGCTGCCTCCAGGATTAAAGGTGTGTGCACTATCATGCTTGGCCAGCAGCTTCCTATGAATTAGCTTGGATAAACTGTGTAAACCATTTCATTCTTTTAACAAATTTAGTAAAGTTTATATAAATTGGAAAAAGGGAAAAGAACTGTTGATGATTAAAAGAAAAATCATTCCCATCACTCTACAAGATGCTTATACTTGCCTAGACTTTTAATTTTAAGCCTATTTATTAAAATGACTCAGATTTTACGGTACACCATTTAAATTAAGCATTGCTAATTTCAGCATTGTCAACATGAAAACTGTAGTAGGAATTAGAAGAAAGGCTTATGTTTCCATCTTTAGTATCAGCAAACAACATACTTAGTGTAAATGAAACTTTTACTATTTGCAAACACATTAGGCTTATCTTACAAAATACTGTCAAAAAGTGTTCTTACAGGGAATATATATTGTTTGTTTGTTTTTTTGGTTTTTCGAGACAGGGTTTCTCTGTGTAGCCCTGGCTGTCCTGGAACTCACTCTGTAGACCAGGCTGGCCTCGAACTCAGAAATCCGCCTGCCTCTGCCTCCCAAGTGCTGGGATGAAAGCGTGCGCCACCGCCGCCCGGCTGGAATGATTTTTAACTAGCCATAGCTACTTTGATATAGCAAGAGCATATTTACTAGCTTACATGTTCTGACTCTCCTCTTCCAACTTAGACTCTCCATCACACTTCGCCATCACCACACAAATGCATGGCTGTGCTCATCAGAACACCAACTCATACTGGGCATGGAAACACATGTCTTTAACCCCCAGCACTTGGAAGGCAGAGACAGGAGGATCTCTTTGAGTCCAATGCCAGTTTGGATGACATACTGACATCCAAGGACAGTTAGGGTTATATACTGAAGCCCATCTCAAGCAAACCAAAAAGAAAATCACCATTCCACTATGACAGACAACATATTTACTCTACACACTCGATACAAGTGCAAACACAGAAAAACAACTACATGTATGACACCTAATAATCACACAGACAAAAAAAATCTTACACTAACAGTCAAAAACACACAATAAAAGTACCCTGATATTTCCTGATAACTACATATTTCATTTCTGGACTGAAGTTATTAATAATCTTGTGCACAGCGCCCTCTGCTGGACAACAGTAAAAATATACGATGTCTTGGGTTGACAGTCAACTCTAACCCTAGGCATGTCCCTTGCTTCTGCCAAACATCTGTTCTGGATCTCTGACAAGAACACAAAGAATGCCTCCTTCGAAACACTGCAACAGGTCAGTGTCTTCAGCTCCTGCCAACAAGACATTCACTCAACATCTGACTACTAAGGTGTCACTAACAGTGTGCATGTAGGACATGGCCTGCTATAGCACTAAAAACAATTATCAGATAATGGAATCCTGATTTATTAAGGTAACAAACTAGAAAGCATAAAAGAATACAGAAATCAGAGAAGCTCTGTGTTACAAGAAATGAAGCCACAATATAAGGAAACTAATCCCCCCTCTACTTGCCTCAACAGGGAGACATACCACAGCGTCTGCATAGTGACTATGTCTTTTTCCAAAATCACTTGTGTCTTTACATCTCTACAAATAAATACAATCTATAAAAATGATGGCATACTACCGTGTTATAAAGACATCCTTTCTGTGTGTATAAAGCAGCCAACGTAAGAGCAAGTGTAGCCTAACATGCCTTTGTCAGCACACCTATACTCTGGCAAGTAAGGAGTGCACCTACTAAAGAGTCATATTTTTCCTCAATTCAGTAACAAAACAATAGTCATAAAAGCCCAGTAAAGGTTCCAGCTAAATCTGTTAACACAACAAACGCCTCCTCCAGGACCTCTCTCTTCTCTCACTATTAGTCAACGTGAGTTACCTGCTCTCTCTTCGTCGATAATCCTGCTCCTGGTCCAGTCGGATCATCGGCTTCACCATCCCTCGCTCAGCTGTGCTGGAGGCAGAGGACACCCGGTCACTGTCCAGTCTAGTAGTGCTCTGTGACAAGAGAAGCCAGAGTGTGTTAGGACGCCCCACGCCCAGCCATTGGCTTTACACTCAGCACTGCAGGCAGCAGTCTGATGTGCAGTTGCTACACAGGTAAGGTAAGAACACAGACCAGAGAGTAATGAAGAAACACTCAGGATGCGCTGCCCAAGGTCCTGCCCAGAAGCTCACAGCACTGAACACAACGGCATGAAAAACACAACCATGATGATTTTCAAAGGGCAAGGAATAAACTTTATCAACAAAATATAAAGACAAAATGATTTTGAAAGACTAGTCATTTGACTTCTCAGAGTTACATTCACAAAATTAAACAACAAAAGGCACAATTTTTAGGTTTTAAAATTTTATAAAAACAAGCTTATAAATGTGAGTAATGCCAACGAAAAAGCAAATTAGGACTTTATGTAAATTAGGACATGTTCATGTGCTTAGCCACGAAAGACTTGTCAAGTGACTTAAGAAAACAAAAAACTACTCACAAGTAACAGTATCATGTACACAGACAGACAAAAGCCTAATACAGTCGAAACATGTGAATGCACACAAAGGCACGGGCACACGCCTCCCTATGACACAAGCACTCTGGAAAGAAAGGGTTCAACAGTGTTGAAGAGCTAACCTATATACTACGGATAACAGATTTTCATTCTTCCTCTATTTACCAAGTCTTCTGTGTTGAGTATACATTGTGATAAGAAAAATTCTGCTTGACCCCTCCAGTCTTTACTCATTTACGTGCCAAGATGCTGTTGCAGCACGGCACTACTCAAAGCAATAAAGGCATGAGAGTAATTGAAGAAGCAGGGTCACCATGTCCAGAGCTCACAGACTACATCATCAATTAGCAAGCCAAGACAGTAACAGTATTAATTAATAGTTATATAAGTCTTACATGGAGTAGTATGACTAGATGATGCTCAAGAACAAGCCCCGTCAGGAGGGCGGGCTAAGACAAGAAGGGGCCAATTATATGAAAGCAAAGAATGAGACCAAGTGCAAGGTAAAAAGAGCTTCAGAGACAAGTGGGACACTCAGGAATCGTGTAAAGGAAAAGGGCAGACATTACTTATAACACTCCTGGAGGCATGGAGGCCACAGCACCAAGAGCTGTCTGTGAGTTGGGAAGGTACGAGCAGCTTTGACAGTAGAGCTCCAACAGAACCAAAAGCATGTCTCTAAATTCGAGAGCAATGACAACCAGAAAGGGCTGATCAGAAGCCCAGGAGAGGAGCTGTTGCTCACAGAACTGCTAATGAGCAAGGCAGAGGAATACAGAGACACTTTACAGCCAGAGAAACGGTCCTCATGAAAGACTTGTGCAAAGATAAGAAATCAACGTCAGCTTCAGTGAGGCAAAGCCATGGTTGGTGGTATAACTCACTAAAATAAAGATGATGAGAAAGAATTAAGTTAAGAACAAAAACAAAAGCCAGGCTTGATTTGCTATGTTAACTTGGAAGTTCCCGTCAGACGTTCTATCATAAAAATGACACAAAGTCAGTCAAGCCTCTGAGGATGTCAGAGTGGAGAGACCAGCATCAAAGGCAGACAGTGAGGATCCTGGTGTAATCTTAGGAGAGACCAGCATCAAAGGCAGACAGTGAGGATCCTGGTGTAATCTTAGGAGAGACCAGCATCAAAGGCAGACAGTGAGGATCCTGGTGTAGAGAGTAAGGATCCTGGTGTAATCTTAGGAGAGACCAGCATCAAAGGCAGACAGTGAGGATCCTGGTGTA